GTCTGACTTGAATGAATTAGATTAAGCACTCGTGCGCAGATTAAGTACCCCAATGTGGAGAATGTGATCACGGGACGGACGGGCGCGGCGAACGAACCCGGTCGAGTAGGATACGTACAGAGCTCAAGCCTCAAGGCTACTAATCAACCAACAGGCTAATGGAATGGAATGGAACTGAAGTGGAGGGAGCCGGTGCTATTGCCCTTCCACCGTTCCACGTTTTGATAAGAGGCTAGGGGAATTTCTAAATTTTGTACTAGGAACATCTCTACCTAACCCCGCGTCTTGTTGGCAAGTGGCAACGAGGAACGCCCTATTGCTTTGCTATTGGGCGCCCAGGCACAGTGTGCAGGTCGATCAGCGGCCTGTGCCGAGCTGCAGCTGCAGCCGCAGCCGCAGCCGCAGCCGCAGCCAGCAAGGTGTGGATTGTGGAAAGAGCCATCCAGGAGATCGTGCCGTGCGTGGTCCTGGTCCTGGTCCTATATTATAGTAGATCAGCCGGCAACGAGGCGCGAGATCGGGATATTACATAAATTACCATCGCCCTATATTTGAAGTGTCTGTTAAAAAATGTTTTCTTTGTTTTTACTACGTATGTTGTAAAGTGTTTTTATTTGAATGTTGCGTATGTTTTTCATATATGTTTGCAAGTATTTTTGTCCGGACGTTACGTATGTTTTGCAATGGCTTTCAAGTGTTTTTAGGTGTTTTTGTAAGTGTATCAGACGCATGTTTCAAGTGTTTTATCTTTCTGCAGACGCATGTTGCAAAAGTTTCATTTGTATATTTCAAAAATAGATTTAATGTTGTACATGTTGCAATATGACTCATCTGCCACAGCCACCTGCCCTAGTTGCTGGGGCGTTGTGTATGCTTGTCGGAATCGGAGGGGTGGAGCGTTGCGCGACTACGGACGTACGGCAACCGTGGGCGTTCGGACGCTAGAACTGTCTTTTGACTAGTACTCCAACTGTTAGGATTTTTGCACAGAGGGTACTAGTTACAGAGGTTGTTGTTGAAATAGCCAGGAAATTTCTAGTGTCCCGTGAAAATCCATCGCATTGTGTCTGTCGCATCGGAGAAAAGGCAAATTATATATATTTTTTCTTACGAAAGAATGAAGAATTAATTAATCTGTAAAACCGGGATTTTGAATCATCGAGATCACTTGTTCTGAAGACAAAAGGCACTACCACTACAGTTTCTCTTTTCGAGGAAAGCAGAGCTTTAATAACAATCGTCCAGAAATGGCATCACATTTCCACCTCTGCGAGCAGATCATATAGATGCATTTTTACCGGCAGCACTCTGCGAGACCTGTTTAGATCCGATTCAAATCAATTCATATGTGTTGGGGCGGATTAAGATAGAATTGGATCGAGATGAATCCGACGACATCTAAACATGGATTTATGATCTATTCGTTCCCACCTCAATCTAGGATTGGGGATGAAACCAACAGGCGTTTAGGTGACGCTCCAATATCGCGTGTTTGGTTGAATGGGACCACCAATGGATATATAGTGTTTGGTCGAAGGATTGGATTGGACTGGATTGGATTGAAAAGAGAATATACCTTGAAGATGCTTGGATTTTAGTGTTTCGTAAAAATCTCGTGGACTAGCTTATCTATGTCTTCTAATCTTTGTCATTAGTAAATAAATTAAGGAATATTAGTATGTTATATTATTACTTAGTAATTATGATGGTATAATTAGTTTTGATAAGTGCTAATACGTTGATTAGTGCATGTTTCGTGTGCTAATTAGGGTATTAGTGGTGCTAATTAACCTATTTTATTTTTAATTAGTGATTATCATGACAAAATTAGTATCAGTGCATATTTATTAGTGTCTAATTTGTTGTTATTATTTTTAAATAATAGATATAATTAGTCAATTGTTCTCATCCCATCCACCTTAATCCATCCGATCAAACAGAAAAATGGTTCATCTCATCCATGCAACCAAAAATACATCTTGAACATCTTTATCCCAATACCCATATATCGCTATATCCCATCCAACTTCGTTCTCCAACCCAACGCAAAGTAACAGCTCCATGTTGTTCCTTTTTTCAGAAGCTCCAAACCATGGACCAGGGCTCGCCACGTAGGCAACTGGTTCGCAGTAGAGTTGACCACGAGATGACGTAATGTTAAGTGGGCAGAGTACTGGAGAGACGAGAGACCTTAAACAACGACCAATCTGATGAACACGGATTCGCAGTGGGTAGTCCCCTCTGCCGTTCTGATTTCTTCAAAGTTCATTAAAAAAAAGAAAACCACCACAACTCATTGTACAAATGTAAGGCCAGCTTTGTACGGCTCTAAGACAGGTCCGTGGCTTCGCGCTGGCAAGAGCGGTCAGAAGGAGCACACAGTTGCAGCATAACCAGACGTGTATTATTTTCTGACAGCGGTGGACTAAATCCAAGTTGGACAGTACTTGAAGTTGCCATTTTGTACAAACAACATGTTTGCTAGTTAGTTTCTAGGCTGATTAGTTCAACTAGTGCTGCTTTGTTGTGAGAAAAAAATATTGTATCATGACTGATAAGTTCGGACTAAAACCAACAAACGAACGGTTATTTGTTTGACGAGGGTCATGCATGAGACGAATTGACAGAGAAGGAAGAAGCTCACACAAGCTTCTCGGCAAATGCAAACGCTACGATACCCTGCAAGCGGGGCTAGCTCCATTTATCTTAGGTTAAACTGGCTATAGCTCCTTCTGGAGTTGTTGATTTGCTTGCTGTTCAATTCAGTGGATGGAGCTGGATCTAGCCAACACACACCATCTTATCTTAATATTAATAACTCAAGGTTTTGAGATTAATCCTCAGAAAAAAAACACTAGGAAAAAAACAAACATTCATCCATGGATTTAGCAGACTCGGTTATTGTTGACAACAATAGCCATGATCATGAGACCTATTTTGTTTTGAAATTACCTACCTGTGTTGCTCCCTTTTAAATATACTTATTATACTCCTATCTCAAAAATACTCCTATCTCTTGCACCCGCTATGTTCAACCAAGATTATATAGAAGAGTATCAATATTAATGACATCAAGTAGGCATCCCATCAAAATATTTTTTTTTGTGATGGTTCGGTTCAGGATAAATTAATTTTTTAGGGACGAAAGAAATAAAGAATTACTAGAGCACAAGTATACAGATAAATAAACAGTGCCTTCCAAACAGAGTTGGGAATTTCAAGCGAATTTTATCGATTTTTGGTCGTACCTGTTACCTCCGGTAAATACATATAATGGCAACTTCGCTTTAGATTCATTCACATTTCCTACATTTTAGTCAAAACTTCATAAATAAAGTATTGAAAAAATTTGACCGAAATTTTGGTGATTTTCGGTCCTACCCGTCCCTTTTGCGACAGGTAGGCCCAACAACCCTGCTGCCAAACCATCGTAGCCTGTCCTTGATGACAAAACAAAACAGAGCTCGGACCTGGAACTGAAATACTAGATGAGGACGAAGCATCCGTTACTGTCTCCTCATCTGGCAGAGGCAGACGCGGGGTGTGACTTAAGAATGAATTAGATTGACTTTAGGCACGTACTCGTGGGCTGTGCACAGATGAAAGCCCTCTTCGTTTGATTTATAAGATGTATTTTTTTAGTCAACGAATAATATTTTTTCTCGTAATAAATTAATCAACCGTATGTTTTTAGCCAAGCGAACTGGGCAGAAGTACCCAATGTGGAGAACGTGATCACGGGACGGGCGCGGCGAGGCGAACGAACCCGGTCGAATAGGATAGTACAGAGCTCAAGCGGTCAAGCCTCAAGGCCACTAATCAACCAGCAGGCTAATGGAATGGAACTAGAGTGGAGGGAGCCTGTACGGTGCTATTGCCTCTCCACGTTTTGATAAGAGGCTAGGGGAATTTCTAAATTTTGTACTAGTAGGAACAATGACTCCACCTAACCCGGTCCGCGTCTTGTTAGCAAGTGGCAACGAGGAACGCCTATTGCTGCTGTTGGGCGCCCAGGCACTGCGCAGGTCGATCGGCGGCCTGTGTGTGCCGAGCCGCAGCCGGCACCGGCAAGGTGTGAAAAGGCAACTTGCTCGTCGCCTCGTCGGGGCTCAGGAGTACAGTAATACTCAACGATATAACTGGTCGCTCGAACTTATCAGCCGTACCGTTTTAACGAAATAATAATATTTTTCTCTCACAATAAATCAGGACCAGCCAGTAACCGCTTTATAAGCACATAGTCGACTACTGATGGATTTTGGCAAGTAGTACATTTTTTAGGGAAAATCCTATAAAAGAACCGCAAGTCGTTTTTAAAATTAAAATCCCGCTGGTTTGTCACGATCTACTAACACCTCGTAGCGGTGTGCCGGTGTCCCTTCTATTATATGCGGGTGTAATTTGCCAGCAATCAAAGCTCGTCCAACTGAGGAGAGCAACTCGGATTGCCTGCCGCTGACGACTGGGCCGGTCCCCTCCCCAAGTGGAACTGGAACCGGCCGGCGATCGATCTCGGCGGCACAAGTCGTCGCGGTCTGGCGTAGCCGCGTGCCACCGGGTCGCCGACCAAGCTGTCACCCTCACCGGAGCTCTCCTCTTCCTTCCGCGTTCTAGAAACCAAACAATCGGGGGAAGAAAGAGACGGCAACAAGAGGCCTCGTTTTGGTCCCTCGAAAAGTTTTAACGTAACACAATTGTGTACATACCATACCAACTACTCCCATCTCAACTCAAGGAATGATGGATGAAGACAGCAGGAAATCCTCAGAGACTTTCTACGAACAACCCCCACCTCTCTCTCTCAGTCTCTGCCTCTCTATCTCTTTCTGTGACGACAACTGAGGCTTGTTAAATAAACACTTGTCAATGAGCTGAGATTATATATATAGCACTAATACTAATAGCAGCAGCTGTGCAGCAACGACCAAAAGACAACCGCTCGTCGTCGCACTCGCACGCACCGGCCACCGGCACCGCCCAGCAGCAACCAGGCAACCAGCATGACCCCCGACGCGGCCTTTGTGCTGGAGATGGCCGCCGTGGTCTGCTTGGTGCTGCTCATCGTCGCCATCGTCGCCGCCGCCGCGGGCGCCTGCGAGCCTGTCGCCGCCGCCGCCGCGGTGCACGACGTCGAGCAGGCGCTCGGGCCCGCCACGCTCATGACGTACGACCAGGCGAGGACGAAGGCGGCCGGCAACGGCGTCAACGGCAAGAAAGGGAGAGCGCCGGCGGCGGAGGAGGAGGCGCCGTCGTGCGCCATCTGCCTGTCGGAGTACGCCAAGGGCGACGAGCTGGTGCGGGTGCTGCCGGCGTGCGGCCACTTCTTCCACGCCGACTGCCGCATCGACTGGTGGCTCCGGCAGCGCGGCACGTGCCCGATCTGCCGCGGTGGTCTGCGGCCGCTGCCGCTGCCCCTGCCCCTGCCAACGAGTCCGGGGTGTCCGCCCATGCCGCCGCGAGTGACCGGCGCCGCCATGGTCCGCGGTAGGGGTTGAATCGGCTCAGCTCGCATTCTTGATTCTTGGTTAGTTGTTAGGAGTTTGCAGAGGAGACAGACAGAGGTGAAAATGGTGCAGGCGATAATTTTGTTATGGAGGCCTTTACTTTAAAACAAAGCACTGTAAGCATTTTTCAAAAAAAAAAAAATTGTAAGCCTTTCTGCTACCAGAAGTTTTTACATTTTGATGCTGTCCACCGTTGTTTTGGATTATGGGAGAAGACACAAAGGGTGCGTTTGATTCGTGTCAGCCAACTTTTGTCCCTGCTCAGGTTATTTGACTAGCGTTTGGTACAAAGTACGTTTAGCTAAACCAGGGGGGATTTTGGCTGCGCCATCTGCAGTATAGTAAGCAGCAAAGTGAGGCTGATTCCAGGACCGTCGATTCGTGCACGGTGCACCCTGGCCTATTTTGGTTTCGGCGCATGGACATGCACAAGCTGAAGTCAACCATCCAGTGGTTGTGCGTTCTTCGATTGTTTTGAATTACGAAGCTTGAAACGTTAGTATTTACTAAACGGTATATCTAATCTTAAATTTGTTTTGGCTATTGTATTTTTTTATGATTTTATCTCCAAAACAAGATCCTACATGCATGGCTACAATTCAACGAAGAGAAAACATAAGATCTAGACCCTACACGTCATACACAAAGCTATAGTACACCTTGGCATGCATTATAATTTTAGTTTAGTCACCATCAAAATATCTGCAATATAACTAAATTTCGGTCATGCCCTAATTTAGCTATAGCCAAATATGACTTGACCAGCTAGAACATGCATCCAAAATGGCCAATGTCAGTATACTGAATTACTATTAAACCGTTGAGGAAAAATGTGTAGCTTTTTTTTTAGAAAAAAAAGTGCAGTTGTAAAAGTAAAATTGACATCATGACCACTCATTCAAAAATTCGGTGTACGTTATAGGCAGGGAGAAAGTTTTAGCGCGTGTTTAGTTACAGGAATTTGGAATTTGGGGCCACTGTAGCACGTTCGTTTTTATTTGGCAATTAGTGTTCAAACATGGACTAATTAGGCTCAAAACGTTCGTCTCGCAATTTCCCACCAAACTGTGCAATTAGTTTTTTTTCGTCTACATTTAATGTTCCATACATAAGCCGCAAACATTCGATGTGACAGATACTGTAACACTTTTTTGGATTTTAGGGTGAAATTAAACAAGGGCTTACTACTCTGTACTAGGTTGACTGTGATGACAGATTGGACAGAACTTTTCCTCTGTAAACAACGACTAATCTGCTTAACATTGGCTCGTCGTCTGCGTGTGGACTGGACCATTTCTTGTTAGCATCTTTTACGACTCCTTGGAAGCTGCTAGAAGCCGATACACAGATGCGAGGCTTGAGATTTTCAAATTAACCAAGTTGTCCCTCTACACACAATGATTGATGACTAGTTTGTTTTGAACGATAGTCGGCGTGTGGACTTGACCACTTCTAGTTATGATTTTCTTATGACTCCTTCAAAGCCACACCGCATTCGATGTGTGCCCAGTATGACAGGCTTCGTGCTAGCAGGAACTATGAGGAGGAAACAAGAGATGATAGAATCATGCAGTTGGCAGTTGACAGGATGATCAGGTAGTACTGTACTTCCTTGACTTTTTACAGCAACAGAAGTTACCAATTCGGATCAAAACATCGTGTTTGGTGAGGCCAACTGACAGAGAACGAAGCTCAGAAGTTCCTCTCTTACACGAATTAAAGCAAGCCAGAGGATGATGCCTTTAGGTACCTTTGCAGGCCACCCTGGCTGAATTCCGACTCCAGTTTTCTGGAGCTGAGCAGTGCATGTCAGATCACCAGACGTTGAATGATATACATATCTCACGCATTCTGAATTACTGGAAAAAAAAAACTGATTCAACATAGGCTTCCACAAACATACTCTGTTCAGGGGAAATATCACACCACCAAACAAAACATCCATCCATTCCAGTATACTGAAAAGAACACGACAACTATTGCAGATGCCATCCTTCTCCAGATGTCAGACAGAGACTCAGAATACACTCAAATCTTTCACTAGAGCAATGCATCGTATATTCAGGGGGCAAAGGACTAGCAGTAGAACATGGACCCCTTCAGCTCGTTCTTTATCTCTGGAAGTTGCTTCGGGCCAGCGCCAGGAGCAGCTGCACTGCCGGAGCTTGACGCTGACGCCGTATCAGAGCCTTTGGCGAGGTAGGCGAGGGCACGATGTGCGAGCTTTTGGGCGTAGAATGCGGGAGGAGCTGCCATTACAAACAATCAGCATAGCATCACGTTAACATTTTCTTCCATGCACTATGCAAAATTGTGGTAGTAAGGTTTTATTTTTGTTTAACAGTCGTGCTTCTGCATCTGTACATGGATGTAGATTACAGATTCAGCCAGAACCGTCCAGTTCAACTGCAGTCTGGATGTTGATTTCACTAGATACCGTGCTTGAGCAGGAAAAAAATGGGGCAAGTTCGTTTAAACTAAATTATCTGTGAATACAGAGAAGAATGTCATACCGATCGACACCGACCGAGTGCCGCTTGTATAACTGATGAGAGACAAAATAGGACAAACTGTCAGACAGCTGAACAGCTCAAACTGCCAAAAAAAAAAAGCAGCAAGTAACAGCATGCTTACGTGTAGCACAGGTTCTTTGTGAGAGCCTGCAGTTCATCTGCCGTGAAGTTGTTATCATCTCGCAGCACAAGGTACTTCACAGGACGCCTTGGCCCCTGCATTTTCCACAGTCATCCAATCTTTATTCCTTGGATACAAATTGACAAGACAGTCAAGTTATTGTGATATTGTGGACATCTTACTTTGACATCAGCTTGGTTGCAAAGGAAGAAATCAAATTCTGCTGGGTGACAGATCTCACTATCAACCACTGTGCCTACAATTTTTTCAGGAACATGTGGTTAAGATGGCTTATGAAACAGGATACCATAAATTGACTGTTGTGAATAATCTCGTGGTTCTAAGTTCTAACCAGGCTCAACAATTTTCTTCGTAACAGAACGGAGCTTATATTTGTTGTCCATGGGGGACAGCCTTAGTCTATGCCTCTTCTGCACAACAATGAAGGTGATTTGTGGCTTCTCATTATCATACAGTGTGTTCCAAGCCTGGAGAAGAAAAAAATAGTTGTTACCAAATGTTCTAATCAAATATGATATTGGCAAGCACTATTTGCTCTCAAATTACTTTACCTTTTCTATCGCTGGGATTTCTTTCTCCAAAACTTGTTTGAACCGACCCTCACTTATGCCATCCCTAGTAATCAAATACATAGCAGAAGGACATAGAGAGAAAAGCAGTCAACTGTTAATTTTCATGGAATGATGATCAAAATAACGCATCACAGAACAAATGAGATGTTTGAACCTGTAGAATATCAGCTGCTGGAGCTTCTTGTTGGACTCGTTTGCAAATGCATGAAGGAGCTCCCTTCAAAAGTTTCATAAATTAAAATGCAACCTAATATGGTGGCATGCATGTTCAAATAGTTACATAGATTGAAGGTCTTACTTGACAATGTCTTCAAGGCCACTGATCTCTTCAGTGTGACCTTGTGCACGAACAACACTATTATACTTAGACACCTCATGCCAGTCTTGGGATGCAACGACCTAAACAGAACCTCAGGCAGCATCTGTTAGTTTAATGATATGAAAATGGAAAAGGCACTGTGTCCATTTACCAAACAAAAGGAAACCTTACAGAAGCAATCGAAGGGGCAGCAGAACCATCTTTTTTTTTAGAAGGGTGAGAAACATGAGCACCAAATATAATCGTCGGCTTGTTTGAAACAACCGGTAAACTCTTCTGCACGTCATCGAATACTGAGTTCCTTCCTCCAGCCTATCAAGATGGTGAATATATCATATCATGTTGAACTGCCAGTTTTTATAAAACAATATACATGAAGAAGCGAATCTGAGGTTTACCTTGACATTGATCTTAATAGCAATATTTGCCAATATCTGACTATTTTCCGTGAAGACATTTGACCTTCGACAACACTGTGACACGAGACCAATATCTGTCTCACAGATCCTTTTAATATTTCCTGTGGTTTGAAGTAATATCAGGCATCACATATATGTAATAGAAGTGAAGAAATTATGTATCCAATCATAGACACTACCATATAAACTGCCATTTTTATCTGGTAGTATAGCAAGCAGTAAATCAATCTTCTGATGTCTCAGCTTGTTCTTCGCTTCCTGATAGCATTTACGAATACCATCTTCAACTTGATCTGGACGTGCAGTGAATATTGGGAGCTTCAAATTGGCAAATTCCTGAAATTAAAGTCAAAAAGGGTAGGCAATACAGTTTGGACCTAGAGACAGTAAAAAAGGATGATGAAAAAGCATATTACCACTCCAGTAGTACGAGATATTTCAGCCAGCTTAAAGCAAAACTCCTTAATATCTTTCTCGGATAAATCTTCACAAAAGTTAAGACATGCCCAGTTGCTGATTTTGGCACCATTTATTACTTTCTGCAAACAAAATATTCAAGCAATGGTTATAGATTAAGAACAAATATATGTACAACCAAAATTCATGGAAAATTAAAGAAACTTTTTTCTTGATTCATTACTTCACTGAAGAACGCAATAGCAAGTAAATGATAGAATGGCACTACTGGAAAGGTTCTCAAAATGGATCTTCATTGAAGCTGTAACATTAAGATTGGTTTAGCAGTTCATGACATACCTTGTCTTTCATATTCCAGTACCCATTCATTGGAAACCCCGTCTTCTGAGATCCAGAATCATGATACTTAAGCTACAACAGCAACAAAAGGGGAGCATATAAGACAATCACAAACTTCTTTAGACCCAAAAGTACTACATCAGAACTCATGGAAGCAGGAGTACATTTGGAGGTAGCAGAACTCTAGCATCAACTGTTGCAAGATTGTCATCAACTTCTATGTCAAAATCATTTGCACGTTTGGTGCGTCTGTACTGCTCCTTATCAACAATCTAAGACAAGTGGAAGTTAGGTTAGCAAAAACTTAAAGATATTTTTTTATCAGTTTACAGCTGTCACAACATTACACGAAGTGCAGTGAGATCATGAACCTGATGACAGGATTACTCCGGTTCAGGATGGATGCAGGCTGACTTCCTTAGAGTAGAAACCTGACTAGCTTCCAGCTTCTTCTGGTAACACTGCCTGGGAACTATCTTGCAAACCTGAAATTCAAATTTACATTCGGAAACAGCAGCAGAGTAAGGAAGGGTAAGGAGTATAGAAGCATAAGACATCATGTTGAAGTTGAGAAGTCCATAACTACTATGTTTAAAAAAAAAGAAGGCCACAACTACCAACCTCTATAGGAAGATAGACTGGATTCTGCTCGCTGCGAGCGATGATGCATGGGAGAGATTTGTATTTCAGGTCCAGGCTGTATATTTCTCTGAAGTAATTAATGACTGTCGTTGTGGCTCCACTAGATTGAAAACTGATATTTTAAAGGCACCATGAAACGTTTGAGTAGTAAAAAAGAAGTGCTGTTGACAGAATTTAATGGCACCATGTATTTCTGAACTAGAGAGGCTAAGTTGAACGTAAATGCAAACGAGAGGAATCCTACCTCAAATCATTAGTAGGATTCACTGACAAACCAGCAATTCTGTACTTACGGCGTCTATTATCTCCTAGGTGTGTGACTTCAATCCTCACACCCCTGAGGACCTTCAAGAGCTGAAATTCAGAAAACAACAACATACATCTGAAGTTCTGATGTGCATAGTGCATTTTGTATCAAGGCCGGAGAAAGCATGGATACCTTGTCATACTCAGGTTTAGTCAAGTTTCTATCCACAACATCCATCTTTAGGATCTTCTGAACGAATTCAATCAATAGCAAGGGTTGAATGAATACAGATGAGGACACATCTGCAATGGAAAAATTACTGCACGTTACAAATTCGGCAAAGACACGAGATCTGAACTGCAATATTACCAAGTGCAATCGCAAGTTTTTCTTTCAATCAATCACCTGAAACTAAGGTGTCCACTTGGTTTGAACTGAATATGATTTACACCAACCACATGAAAATGAAATGAACTTATACAAGTACAGATTTGTATCCAAATTTCCCCTATTGGCCAGTTCTGCCATCTAAACATCCTATCTGTGTTTCTGACCATACTGTACATAACTAAAAAGGAAAACCCACATTTAGAAGTGAAGTGATATCTGACCTGCAATCAGAGACAAGCAGTTCTGTGTTGACCTGATGCTCTGATAGAGCCCCTTCCATGCGTCAACACCCAGTGTACGATCCGTTGTGGCAATCGCGGCGCATCTGTTCACAGTCCAGAGACGAATAACATTATCATCCCAAGTCATGAACACAGTGAGATAATCAGAGACAGCGAATGTTCCGTTTCTTACTTCATGTCATTGCGCTCGTTGGAGACGACGTCACGCAGCACGGTGTCGAGGACCAGCAGCGCCTGCGCGGGGATGTCCGTGGGGTAGCCCGCCAACAGCATTCTCAGCTATAGCAGGCTAATCGTTGCGGCATGGTTGATCACCACCTTGTACTTCCTGTCCATCCTGCACAATTCGTCGAGCATTTGCATCGCATCTCTGCAGCGACCGAGATGAGATGGGAGAAGCAGAGTTATACGTACTTTTTGTCGCCGCCTGTAGAGAGGGTGACCTCGAACTCCTTGGTGTCGAACGGCAGCGCGCCCGCGGTGAAGAGCGAGTCGCGGTCGTCGTACGCGGGGAAGCGGCCGCCGAGCTCCGTGTGCTGGTTCTCGGACACCAGCTTCGTCATGACCTCCCTGTACGCGGCCTTGGGCGTCGGCTCCGGCGAAATGGTCACCTACAAGTACAACGAAACAAACAACCATAAACACGGGAACCCACGGCAATGGCACTCAGTCAGATTAGATCAAAACTAACAACGAAGAGTACTGGACGAGAGAGCACGAGCACTTACGTCGTACTGGTGCAGGCCCTCGTCGACGTGGCGGCCGAGGAAGCGGTTGGCCCTGACGACGCACGGCGTCCCCTCGGCGCCGTACCCTGGTCGCGGAGGGAACACGGGCTCGGCGCGGCCGACGTGGATGCCGAGCGCCTCGAACTCCTTCCACAGCGGCGCGGCGGCCTCCTTCACGAGGGTTGGCCCAGCTTGGCGGATATCGGCTGGCGGGCTCTGGCCGACGCGCGAGGGGTCGTCGTCGCGGTGCTCGTTGCGGTTCCCCGCCTCAGCGCCGCTCGGGTTTGCCTCGTCTCGCCCGTTGCCGCCGGAGTCTCTCTGCCACGGAGATGCCTCGCCATGGGCGCAACTCCCCTCGCGCTCACGCAGGAGTTTGTTACGTACTTGGAAGAGAAGAAAAGGGAATGGGGAGGAAGAGATCAGTTCAAGTGTTTAACACGGCGTGCACCACCGGCTTATATAAAGCTAGCGTAGGCCACGGTAATTCTCCAAGAAATGTAATGTGCAGTGAATTCTCTTTTTCACTGTATTTTTTGAAGCTGTCTACTCAACACGGGTCACGGGACACGGATGTTCTACAGCAGCTCAACACTTGATTTTTTTTTCTACCGTCTGATCAAGATCGGACAGCTCTCCTTCAACCTTGACCCGTTTCTCCATTCTCCTTCACATAGCTTCCATGATGGCCGACGAGGCCCCGCCTTACCTGGGACAGCGGATCCACTCGTTTCAAGAGCATCCAGTTGAATATTTATCTTTATAGATAGCTAAAATGTCAGCAAATTTTTGAAATCAGCCCAAACAATCATTCTCCCCTTATGACTCTCAGTGGACGTTCGATCCAGGTGCTAGCATCTGAACGGTGCACGCATAAGAAACGAGAGTAAGCACACTAGTAGTAGGCCCACGCCGTCTTGACGTCGCCCACGCTGCCCCGAATGTTGCCCGCGCCATCAGTCGTTTCCCACACGCATCTCATATGCAACACCGATCTACTTTTTAAATATCCAGATGCAACAGTTGCAATATATAGAAGAAGACAGATGAAACACTTGAAACAAGCGTCTGAAACATTTGCGAAAACACTTGAAAAAAATTTGAGAACCATTGCAAACATGTGCAATATTCAGATAAAACACTTGCAAACATACGTATGAAACACCTGAAAACACTTTGAAACATATGTTTGCAACATGCATGTATATGCAACATCTAGATCTATTTTTGCAACATCCAGATAAAACACTTGCAACATACGTCTGGAACAGATGAAATATTTATAACATACATTTGAAACATACGTGTATAGTTGTTACAACATGTGCAACATCCCGATCTACTTTTGCAACATCGATATACAACACTTGCAACATACCTCTGAAATATCTGAAACACTTGAAACATACTTTTGCAACATACGGTTTTCACCATTCTTCTTCCGTACGACGCAACACAGAGCGGGGGAATGGCCGATTCCGGCAAGCTGGCAGGTGAGGATGGTGGTGCGGTGAAAGTGCATCTAGCTCTTTAGTGGGTTTTGGATGATTGAATGACAACGTGATTAGAGGTCTAACCCGTTTGCTAAATGTGGACATGTAATAGGTTATCTCACAGGTACTTAATAAAAGCCAAAATGATGTGTTGTTGTATAAACAATCTAGTTCAAGCACAAGACAACAATGCAAATAGAATTCATGCAAAGGCTTATTTATTGTGTGATTTCCATGTACTATGTGAAAGCAAGCCCGTTAAAAATTAGTTGACGAGACATGAGGGATCGCATATGGAATGGTCTCATATTTGAAGCTTGCTAAATTGAAATGAAAAAAATGACAATGCAAATGAATGGATGATTCAACACAAGATGTGACTTGATGGCTTGAGATGGTGAAGATAGCAAGGAAAGGCTTCGAGGTACTAAGCAAGGGTGAAGGGCAAGCGACGGCTTGGCGGTCGAAGAACCTAGTTAGGGTGAAGAAGAAAGTACTTGCATTTAGTTGAGGTACTAATCAAGCTATGATTGTCATATTGATGTGGAGGATCAAATCTATATTAGACAAAGTGTTGAAAGTGACTTGATGCATTTGGAGTTATTCATATTCAATGAATGGAATCAAGTCACGTGCTCAAGATGGCTATGCTCAAGTGAAAAAGATTAAAGTTGACATGTTGGCACCCTTACTTGATGAAGAATGGAATACACGGCTTCGGTTGAAAGAGATCAACTCAAAAGGTTTAAATTCGTTATACTTTTAAATTTGAGTTAATAGAAATGCCGTACTATTAAGAGGGATGCATCATGTTGATAGATAATGTTTCATAAGTGCTCAAGCCAACCCATGTGAGTTTTGAGTGTTTGAGAGACAAAAGAGCTAACCTGGTTTTTGCTGGTCTAGCAATACCGATACCGGACATGTCCGGTATTTGCCCAGCAATGGTAATATTGTTGATCTCGTGTTGGTTCGTCGGGAGTTTCGACGTTAGTCGGGAGTTCCGACGTCTCACGCTTAACTGACTTGGAGAGTTCACTGTGGTGGTCATACTGGACATGTCCGGTCCGGTATGGACGGCCAGAGGCCAACGGCTAGTTTTCAAATGTCTTGAGGGTCGGGGTTTCCGACGTGAGTCGGGAGTTCCGACGGTCGAGAGTTCTAACACCTCACATACTTTAACTCAGTTACCATGGTTTTCAAATGAGCTGAGGGTCAGGAGTTCCTGTAACACCCCAGTTGTTTGTCACCAGTTAAGCAATGTGTTTGAAATCAACCCTGACATGTTAAGTGGTGATGAAGGTGTCAAGATCAAATCTACAAGAGTGAGCTCCAACTTAAACTTGGGCAACACACATTTGCTTGCATATTGGCCCTTTTCGGATATTTACCTAAGTAATGTTGAAGGTGCTTATTTCATGTGTCTCACCTCAATTTCCACCTACATGAATGATTGGAAAAGTTTCATGAAGCTTGGAATCAAGAAGTCACATGAAATGATAAGTATATCTTTGTTTGAATTGCACTATTAAGTGAATGGAATTATAGGTCATCAACCAAACCTTGCTACCTTGCCCAAGTGACTCTAATTGAACTCTACAACAAAAGTCATGAAGGGTTCGTGTTGAGCAGAGATCAAGAAAATGCATCAATTGGTCTAAAACTTAGATTTAAGCTTTACCGCGATGCTACTTTGACCTGTGTTGACCAAACGCTTACAGTACTTGCATGGAGTTGCATCTTAAAGAAAAGTTGAAGTTTAAGTGGAGTAGAACAAAATTTGTTTTTGAACCAAGAGCCAGATCAGCTTGTAAGCAAGTCAAACCGAGCTCTCAAGTTGGAATCCATGCCTGTTTTGGGAGCTCGAAATTTTGCCTAAGTCTATAAAACTGAAGATCAGTTTTCCAGTTTCTTGTGACCATATTCGATGCCTTGTAGTTTGTTAACCAGCTCAAATTTGACCAAGATCCTTTAAGAAATATTGGATATCTCGTATAGCTCTACAACATTTGTTACTACCGTTTGTACCAAAACTAAAAGTATTCGGAGTTAATAAGGGACGAAGATTGAGTTTCAGCTTGTATTTTTGAGGTGGTTTTGATCTGTCATTCAGAGTTTGGAACTGGAACAGCACCATGGCGACCATGCAGAGCCGAGCGCCTCCTTTTGTTGTCGCGCGTCCTACGAGCCTTGTCGCGTGGCCTCCTCGTGCCTCACCTGTGCGCCACCTCGCCTAAGCCGAGTGACGCGTTTAGAAGGGGAAGACCGAGCCAATGCTCTCTCATTCTCCCCCTCGTCCGTCGCTCCCTCTCGCTCTCTCGTCCACCATGGCCGACGAGTGAAGCTCTAGCGCCACCATGTCTCGCTGCTCCGCTCCTCTGCTGGGCAAGCCAAGAGCGACCGCCTCCCCAAGCCCTAGGCGGAGCCGAGACCCACCGTGTGCTTGCCGTTGCCGAAGCTGCCGTTGTCGGCAGTGTCGTCCTTAAGCTGCTCAATTGTTGTGCTGCTGCTGCCTGCTGCTTGGCCGGCCAAGGTCAGGCGCAGCAACGGCTGGATGCGGCCAAGCCCCAGCGCGGCCTCTCCTTGCCGCCGCCGGCCGCTTCCCCGCTGGCCGAGCTGGCTCTGCTGCAGTCCCGTCGTATATAGAAGACGAAGGACTTCGCGTGCAAATTTGAAGAAAGGGAAGGATCTTTCTGCGAGACCATAGACTCATTTAAATAGTGCCTGAAGGACCTGTTCGCTGACGTTGATTTATGTTTTCCGCAAGGTCCTCGATGCAAGATTTAGATCCCTTTTTCTTTGATTTAGGCAGATTTGAGTGATCCACTTTGAAAATTCGTAGTAATTAGTAGAAAAATCGTAAAATAGTAAATGAGGACTTTTTGGAATCCTTGTGAAATTGTCTATGCATTAGATCTATAATATGTCATGTTTTAGTTTAAATATTTTACTGTAAAAATAGATTTGTGCAGTAAGATTGTAATGCTAGTTGAATTTGTTATTTTCCATAACTGCAGATCTAGGGCTCCAAATAAAGTGAAATTTTTATGGCATGCTACTAATGTGATAGTTGATGTATGGTAAAAATTTCATGAGTATTGGATGAAGTATGAGTGAGTTATTGGTTTATCTCGCTCTCACATGATTTCTTGCAATAGCAAATTGTCTTTTTCATAGAGGCAGCTATACTTATGCAAATAGTATGAAATTTGTATAGTAGACTATTGAGAGGATATGTGAGCTACTGTAATGTTTGTAGAATTTATTGTGTATTTTTGGTATATGTTCATAAATACACCTTGATGTTTAAATAAATTAAGAAATGCTTTAAGAAAATTTATTTAGAGGTGAGCATCATGCTTTCTGGTGTTCTTTAGTCATGTGTGAAATGTTGGTAAGGTTGGTTTTGCCCAATTATGTGTTTGCAACATAAGTTAATAATTATTTTCTTGCCGATGTGGTTTATGGACAGATCTAGGAACTTAGCAAAGTTCTTTATGATAATGTGCTTTGTTGTGAAACTTGTTTATACAAAAGTTGTAGATAATTCATGTATCTAGCTTCTGTTAAAATTTGGTGTCATTTGGCCAAGTAGTTTAAGAGTTACAGTTGTTTAAAGTTGGGTTACAGAATTGATTGTTCTCTGTCTTATTTAGACCAGTTTCTATAAATATATAATTTCGACCCACTTAACTTGTGAATCATGCTGTGATGGTTATAGATGAAATGTAGAGAATTTCATAAGCTTTCCTGAATGTCTTGTTTCATGGCTATTGGATTTGTATAACTCTAGTTATGATCCAAACATGAAGCTATTGTTTCCAGTCCAGAAATAGACATATGCTAGTTGTGGTTGTTTACTCCATGTGTTGCTAAGTGTGGCTTATGCCCTTGTTGATGGTCAAGTTATGATACTTGTGACCTTGTTAAACTTGTGTCATGCTTGATGTGCTTGCTCTCTATAGTTAGTTGTGTGATGTTAGTTAAATAGCTATTGGTGTCTATGTCTTGCATAATCTTGTGTTTGTCTTGAATGCTTATGTGATGCATCTTTTATTACCATTCTTCATATTCATGCACTTGCATCTTGCATCTCATCTAGGTGCGCTAGATGAACCACGTGAAGGATGTGATGTTGGAGCCAAACCCGAAGACGGTGTATGGTGGACC